CAAAAGCTAATTTTTAGGATGACACTCAGGAATTATCCACTCCATTCTGGGTCCTTGTTGGTCTATGGTGTCTCATTCTCTACCAAAATGTTTTCATTAAAATTACCACCAAAAATGACAAGCCGGAAGCCTGGTAAGATTTACTTTCTGTAGAAGTCTCCGGCTGTGAAGTCATTCAGAACTTTTTCAACAGACACTGCTGATCAGCTTTCTTGTATTTTTATGTTCCTGTACACAGAGATTTATCACATTGTCTGTGTGACAGGGGGTATGTTGCACAGTACTTGATAAACACTAGTGTAATGGCTGGAGGAATGGTGGACTTGGAGAACAGGTACCAGACAGCATTTACAAGGCAGGCATAAATGTTGCAAGACAAATAAAATTTAAAACCTTGGCCTTCTGCCACAGTGCAAAACAATCCAAGACTCGGGCAAGACTTCGTACTGTCTGGATTTGTGGGAAAGTCTTATATTCCTCAATTCCCACTCAGCTTGGACCTGTGAGCTTACGGGCAGAGGTCCATGCATTTGCACCGTTCCCTTTGGAAAGTATCTGAATGAGGCTTTGTTGGACTGTATTTATGTGCACTAATCAGTGATGAGAGTGCCCAAGCAGGTGAACAGGATGAGAATGCAGAATGGCATATACAGTGGTGGGAAACCTAAGTGGTACCTGCAATCACAGCTAGCTAAAAGGTTCCAAGGAAAGACAGCAAATAGCTGACCACATAGAAACCAAATGGAAAGAGTAATGATATAAACCAGGAAGGCAGCCTTGTGTACTATGCATCAACTGACTGTAAATTCAATAGAAAGTCATAGAAACTTTCTTGAAAATCCAAATCAGTATCAATTTAGACTGAGCAAATCATTCTGACATGAATTTTGGACAAACTTCACACATGAAGTAAAAATACTTCTCAGATATTCATCTTATCACTGCTTAGCTCTGTATATTTCTATGCTTCAGAAAAAAGCTACTGAAATTTGAAAATACATCATGAGGGAAATCTTGTTCAAGCAGATGTGAAAATATGTCATAAAACCATAGTAAGTAGCCCAAGTTTGTTCCTACCATCCAAACATAACTCATGTGCCAAAGTATATATTTGACTGCTAAATTATATAGTCATCTGAATAATAATTTAAGTAATTGACCATGGGACAAGAATAGAGGTAAAAAGTATTAGATTAGGATAGATATCCCATATATAGATCCTAGTAAGTATAAAAATATTGGTATTTGAAGAAGTTGACATCTTAAACTAGTAGGAAAGGTAAGACTTAGTTGTATTGGGACAGGTCATTGACTTCTCATGGAAAAATAAGGTTAGACTATCACCAAATTAAGTACCGTTACTATGCATTAAGGAATTAATTTGTCAATACAAACAGCAATAACTGTGAAGTAAGTAGGAGAAAATAAAGATTAATATTTATTTTAAACTCAGAGAGAACTTTTTAAAGATAAGAAAAAGTGAAGAAATCAGAGAAAAATGTTAATTGGCTTGGTTACATGCAAATAGATATATCTGTGCATAATAAAAATAATACCATAAAATGAAATAAAAGTCACACTGAAACCTAAGGCAGAAAAGTATTTGCAACATACGATAAATAAAAGATTAACATCCTTTCTGAATTGCTTAGCAGGAGGCATATAGAGAACTCTTAATAGATAAAAGATTAACATCAGAACAGAAAAATCAGTCAATATTCGAACAATTGGCAGAAGAAGAAACAAGCGATCAAGAATGTAAAAATAAATTTCAGCAGGTCAAACAATGAAAGAAGTACAAATTGAAGTGAAATACTGCGTTTCACCTATCCAACTGTAAAGATTTTTCATTATAGAGATCCCCAGTATGGAATCAAGTGTAAAGGAAATGGGTTACTTCACATGCTGCTGGTAGGAGAAAAAAAAATCAGTAAAACTTTTCTAGTCAGAAATTTGCAATTTAATATATCCCATTCCTTTTTGAAGGTACATTTTAAATATCTCTGCATTGAGATGTGCTTTGTGATTTTAAGAATAGATGGCAGTGGTTGGAAGCAAATCCTGGAGCAAAGAAAGGGATATATATATATATATCCCTTTCATATATATATATATATATATATATCCCTTTCATATATATATATATATATCCCTTTCATATATATATATATATATATATCCCTTTCATATATATATCCCTTTCATATATATATATATATATATATATATATATATATATCTTTCATATATTTATGAAAGATAACATCAAAGCATTAGTGATGATACTGAAGATCATGGACACCAGAGAATTGTAAAGGGACTCAGAAGAATGGGGAAGTTTAGGAGTGAATACCTTAGCCATGATTTTTGTTCCTTCTTTACAGCTGATAAGAATAAAACATAAACTAATTTTAAATTTAAATAACCCCCCAAAAAACTCTTTCAGTAATTATAAAAGTTACAAGTGGTAAGAAAACATTGTTCAAGTGGCATTGCTTGATTCTTACATAGATAAAATCATATATAAAAAGCATAAAATGATAACTATGTATCTTAGAATTTATTGGATCTTGTATATGAGAAACAGTAGTATATCAGGAATCCTAACAACATTGATACGATTTGACTCAATAATTTCACATCTGTGAAGTTATCCTAAAGACACCATTATAGGCACACAATATTTTAATGCAAATGTAAACATTTCAGTGTTATTTATATAGTTTAACTGCTAAAAACAATATAAATGTCGGATAGGAAACTGATCAAATAGGTATAGCCATGGGACAGAATGCCGTGCAAGCATAACAAACATGTACCAAAGGATATACAATGGCATAGGAACATATTCATTACCTCATTAATGTTTTCATAAAAAGCAGAATATAACACTACATGATCAATTTTATTTTCCTTGCTTTAAAGCAAGTGTTTGCATGCAAGAAAAAATACTACACGTAAATGCTCCTGTATGCTATGTTATTATCTGGGGGAGGTGGGATTATGTGTCTATATGCTTCTACATTTTCCAAACGTTCTGCAGTGAGCCTGTATAATATTTATAAGCCAAATTTTAAAATGATTTTAAATGGTGAATCCTATAAGTAAATATATCCAATGCCTTTCAAGCATAATTATAGATAAGAAAAATACATACAACTTAATGGAGGTAGGAGGATTTATTAACTTTTAAATGGTCCACAACGCCAGACTCTAAATTGAACTTCCTGATTCATTCACTTCCAAGTGAAATGAGAGTGGGTCCACTTGAGTATTGATGTGGCACACCCGTGAACTTGCCTGCTGCTCTGCCACAGACAAACGTAATTCTCAAAGGAAAGATCCCCAGCCAAAAAGAGGAAGATGGCATTGTAAATCCTTGACACATTTTTCACCTTGGAGTTCATGGGATGGTAAATAACAATTCACAACCACCAAGGTGAGCATTCTTTAGAGACTCACGCAGGGTGGCAGAGCCCAGAGCCTGTCATCCAAGCAGGCTTTAGTTTAGCCATGACCTCACTACCTTCCAACTGAGAGGAGCTTCCATCCGGAGACAATGATTGAGGTTTTCTCTGATGGACATCCTCTGTTACCCGTGTAAGTCCTTAGCCCATCGAGCCAGGAGCATTTGTTGTTTCTGGAAGCACCCAGCAAGGGAGGACACAAAGCAGAAAAACAAACAACAGATCTTTAAAAGAAAAGAAAAAAGTGGAAAGAACAAAGTCAATTCTCAGCTGCAGGTCCTAAATGGGTTTTCTTAAACTTGTAGCAGAAAAAATAATCCTAAACACCAAAGTTTGTGATTTGCAAAAATGAGTTGTCTCAAGTTTCAAAAGACTAAGCACAAAGGAAGCTGAACAGGAACGTTTTGTCCACAAATAACCCATGAGAGAAGAAACGCACAACCAGAATGCCTTCCCTGGAGATGAGATAGGGTTTCCTGACCTGGGCAGAAGAATTTGGGTTGGAGAAGAAACAAAACTGAAAGCCATAGGCGTGGGGGTTCTGACACCTCAACATGCCTCAGGTTAAGTTATTAGAGAAACATGGATCCCCTTAAGTTTAGCAATGTGGAAATAAAGTGGTAAGTTATGTTTTATTTTAGTTGTTTAAAATTTTGTATTAGTACCTGTGTGTAGTATAATGCTTTCATTCCTAATGGGGAATTAATGCATGTTTGTAACACATCTTGATTCTGGTTTTGCATCCCCCTCTTCTATCCCCTCCCTCCATCTCTTGGTCTCCTCCCCTTTTGCAAAAGAATGGTCTCCTATTTCCTATTATCTGTATTTTATTTTAGTTTTTATTTGTATTTTTGGTTCTTCATATAAGAAAAATCATGCAATATTTAAGCTTGTGCATCTGACTTATTTCATTTAGTATTATGCTCTCAAAGTCATTCTACAAGTGATTCAACTTCATCTTTTTAATGGCAGAGTATAAATACCGTATTTTTTCCATTCATCTGTTGATGGACATATAGGCCACTTCCAAGGTTGAGCTGTTATGAGTTGCACTGCTATAAACATGAATAGGTTGCATGTTAAAACATACGCTGTGATATTCCAGGAGAGAAACTGTGCACTATTGTCAAACTTACACATTTGACTTGCTTTGGCCAAAGTCTTAGTTACTTTTCTCTCATTCCTGAGACAAAGTGCCTGACACTCAAAGTTAAAAGAGGAAAGGTTTATTCAGCTTAAAGTTTGTGGAGGTTTCGGTTGATAGCTCCAAGGCAGGGTGGTGTGGCAGAGAGGTTTTGTAGAGAAGAAACAGTTCATGGTGTGCTGAAGGTAGCAAAACAAGCAAGGGACCTTATCAGTGTTTTTTTTTTTGTTTTTTTTTTTTTTTTTTTTTGTCTCTTTCATCTTATCTAGACTACTCAGGGAAGGTAACAATGACACCCTTCATCCCAGTGCCCACGAACCTAGCTTTACACCGCGAATTCATTCCAGCATCACACACTCTAAATCCAGCCCCTTCTGAAAAAGACCCACCTGTGTCCACAGGAGGCTTTGAGAAGACATCTAGAAACAAGCCAACAGCCAATAATGTGGGTTTATGAAACAGCACGAGGTTCGCTTTATTCTCTTCTTCCTCTACTCTTAAAGCAGCGTCAGCTCCATCGTCTTAGATCCAGTGATGAGAAGGAGATGCAGCAGCACCAGGGCTGACTGAGGAAGGCTAAGCAAACGAGAAATAAACCTTTCCCCTTCTAAGCCATTGAGATACAAGCAGCATTCAGCACTACAGCAAAATCCAGCCTATCTGGGCTCATACAGAATACTGTGCTCTGCTTTCTATCTGCAAGTTGGCCAGGAAATGCTGTTTGTGCTTACATGCTCCATGTCACAGGAAACCAGGAGCAGCAATGCCAAAGAGGTCACATCACATAGCCAGGCCCAGGAGAGACTAAACCCACTTTTTTGAATATTCTGTGAGCTTCAGTGTTGTAGAGCAGCACTTGTTGTAGTCAGGGTTTGCAAGGAAAATGATTACATGACAGGACACATAACCTACAGAATTATTTTATAACATTACCCAAAGAGTTTAATACAACAAGTGCAGGAAATCTTTCCACATACTAAGACCCAAGGGCCTGGATCCCACAGCAGAGCTCTGCGTGAAGACCTAAAACCCATGACAATGATATGCAATTCTGCTTAACGGATCTGCGCTGGGAAGGCCCAAAGGTCAGCAATGGAACCTGGAAAGTCGGTGCCAGAGAGATGAAGGATCTGTGCTAGTAGGTTAAGGGATCTGCACTGGAGCCCGGAAGTGATGCTTAAAGAACCAAAGCTCCCCCAAAAACCGCAGCCATCCTCACCGATGATGAGGTCCCGTGCTCTTCCAACGATGAGAACAGCTGAGTTCATATCAGGAAGCCAGCAAGACAAACTTCCCCAGGAAACTGAAAAGCACACATCTTACCCTCTGGAGCTAAGAAACTATGCTCTAAGTAAGAACCTGAACTCCCCCAAAGTGAACCAAAGCCATGCTCAGCAACAAAGTTCTGAACTTCTCCAATTACAATAACAGCCGAGTTCATATCAGGGAAGTCAGCATGACAAGCTCCTCCAGGAGAAGCAACAGCCCCAAAAGAACCATCAGCTGCTCTCCAAGTCTTCTTTTTATCTTGACAACAATCCTCAGGAGGGACATCCACGCTCAGCATCGCGCTGATTCAGTTCCGCTGGTGTTATAAGTGGACCACCAGTTATCAATCCACCACAGCACTAAAATCAGTTCTTGTTGAAAAAAAGCATACAGGAGAACATCTACAGTAGGAGCAGCAGAAACAGAGTCAGCACCCAGAGATGAGGAGGGATGTAGAGAGCCAGGTGTTCACTGCCTGCCACTCCACCCTGACAGCCGGATATGTGCACGTATGTGGCTTCCATACTTAGATGCCACAGTGGAGACAATGGAAGGACAGAAACCTAAATATAAACTTAAAGTGACTAAGAGGACTGTGCATGAATATGCCTGGAAAGTGATAAGATTAAGTTATCTGCCAGTGATAAAGGTAAAATCACGACAGGATTTAAGTCTACTTTTACAAAAATAGTTATATCTTTGCCTGCCTTGGCTTGCAGCATAAGGAATGTATGCTTAGCACAGCAAGGTACTTTAAGACAGTATCATCAGGCTTACGTGTACACAACAAATGTATAGTACTAGGAGGCACTCAGGCAAAGCTGAAGCAACGTGCAGACAAGTGTAACTCCTTCCACAAGAGGCTAACTTCTCCCAAACCTGGCGCTCAAGCTAGGACTTGATGTTTGCCTTGCCTGAGGCAGCCAATGAGAACCTGCTACTAATAACACTTTCAGCTGCGCAAATATTTATTCTGGTCAAACTGAAAAGGAAAAAAGAAATAATTGTAAAGAAATCCTGCTAGAATTTTCTCCATTTATGTACAAAACTTTTTCCTTGTTTTTCAAAAGAAAGCTTTTCGCAATTGGATTTGATGGATTCTAGCCAGTTTATTATTTAATTTTTTGTGTAATTTGAATAATAAGACAATAGACTAGGACACAAATGTACTATACAAACAATAAGCATGGTTAATCTCCACGTCCACTTAAAAGAGTTCATTTTAATTGGAAGGTGAAGAGCTAAGCCATTCTCAGCATTCCCCTTAATGTAATAAAGTTTGAAATAAAATAAAATAGGATTCTGTAATATTATGAAAGAAGCACATCATAATAATATAATTACGTCATATGATTTTATATTTGGCTTTATAATCATTAGTATTTCTGTTACCTAAATCAACAACAATTCATCATTATAAATTATCTTGCCACAATAGAAGATTTTCTAGGTTGCTCAAATCTTAGTTTTATTTTTGGCTTACTTTGATTATGTCCCATAGTGTAAAGAAAGAACAATGAGGAAAATAAAGTTTAAAAATTAGCAATAAGAATAATGGCCTACATATGTAGTAATAAACATATAAGTAAACAATCATAAAAATCAAAAAGATGAAAATGAGGTATGTTATAGAATGTATTGTGGAAGATTGTATTCATTAAATTACCTATGATCTCTAAGACTCACTTCCCAAGTTCAAAAACTTTATTATTCTCTATATATTCACTAGTTAAATAACTGGTCAATTTCACTCAATTTCTATAACTGTAAATAGAATAATGCTGTTTACTTCCACAAGCACTGACAGTTAAAAAGAGATGGTATACTATAATTTTTAAAATAAGCTTAATACTAGCCAAAAATGTTATTTCAAGATAATAAAAGGATCAAGTCATCAAATATCCAACCTTCAAAATATATGAAATAAAAATGTAACTAAAGGAAAAAAATAAATACACAATAATGATTGGATATTTTAACTTTTTTTAGTAATTGATAGCACAGGTAGGTAAAAAACGTAAAGTGGTAGAATATTTGAACAATACCATCAATTAATTTGACTCTATTGGAATTTATGAAACATTATAACTGCCAACTATGAAATATATTTTTAAGTAATTATACAATACTCACACAAATATGCCATATTCTGAATCACAAATTAAGTTTCAATAAATCAAAAAGATTTGAAACTGTTCTCTGACCAAAATGACAGTAAATTAGAAGCTAATATCAAAAACAAAAGCCTAGGAAGTCCCCAAATATTTGGAAATCAAGCAACATACCATAATCCATGGATCAACAAAGAAATCACAAGAGAATTTAGAAATATTTTAAACTGAATAATAATGAAAACACTACCCATCCAAATTTATGGGCTGCAGTATTTAAAAGGATCTGTATAGTTTTAAATACCTATACCAAAAAAACTAAAATAAATTATTGAAAATGGACATGATGGAATATTCCTGTAATCCCAGCATTCTAAGAGGCCAAAGCAGGAAGATCACAAGTTTGACCTAAGGTTGAGCAACTTAACAAGAGCTGGTTTCAAACTTTAAGAAAAAATAAGGATGGAAAAACCCAACTACACAGTGTGAAGACCTTGAGTTCAATCCTCAATGCCAGAGGGAGAAAAATCAGTTTTCTAAAATTTTTACTTTAAAAACTTAGAAAAAATAAGAGAAAAATAAACTCAAAGTAAGTAAAAAAAAAAAAAAGGAAATCATAAACAAAAATAGACACCAACTGAATTAGAAAACAAATAATAGAGAAAAATAACAATCAATAGAAATAAAAATACTTGCTGGTTGAGACTACTAAAATTGATACACCCATAGTAGATCAGTTACTATAACAAAACACCTGAAAAAATTTATTTAAAGGAGGAAAGATTTATTCTGGTTTATGGTTTCAGAGGTACAGTCCACGGGTACTTGGCTCTACCACTTCCAGGCCTGGGGTGAGGCAGAACTTTGTGGTGGGAATGTGAGGTAAAGCAAAGTGACCCAGCAGACAGGAGGCAGACAGAGGGAAAGAACCAGGGAGGGGCGATCAAGGATGACCCCCAGGGTCACACCCCAGTGACTCACTTCCTTCAAATTGGCCCCTCCTTTTACATTTCATCCCCTCAAATTATGACTCCACCAATAGATTAACTCATTGATGCAATTAAAGTCCCAATGATCCAATCGCTTTACAATGGCCCCACTTCTGATGATACTTTTGGCATATATTTAAGATTCAAACCATAATAGTCAGGAAAAGAAGGGAAAAACATAAATATCCAGTATTAAGAAAGAAAGAGGCACATCACGTAGATCCCACACATATCAAAGAGATAATAAAATAATATTAGAACATTTTATTATTCTAATATTAAAATTAAAAGTAAAATTATATTTGATGATTATAATTTTGATTAAAAAAATAAAAAGATATGACTAACCAAAACCAACAGAAGCTGCAATAGGTTATCTGACTAGCTCTATGCTATCGATGAAATTAAGTTAAAAGTCTCTTCACAATCAAAATTCCTATTCCAGATGTTTTCACTGGTGGAGTCTATCAAAGAATGGATTTTTTGTTTGTTTGTTTGTTTGTTTGAGCCATGTTGCCTAGGCTAGCCTTGAACCCCTAGGCTCACACAAACCTCCTGCTTCAGAATCCAGAGTAGCTAAGATTACAGGCACATATCACCATACTAGGCTCTATCAAGTATTTAAAAAAGAAATAATATTAATCTTATAGAAATTTTTTGAGATAATAAAGGAAAGAAGACCTCTGTTTCACCAAGTTCACATAACTTTCATAGCAAAACCTGACAAAGTTATTTTAAAAAGTACAGACCAATATCATTCATGAGCATGTAAAAGTAACCTTCTAAAAATTAGTAAATCCTCTGGGCATGGTGGTACAGGCCTGTAGGCCCAGCACTCAAAAGGCTGAGGCAGAAAGATCACCAGGAGTTCAAGGATAGCCTGAACTACATAGCTAGACTTTGTCTCCAAGGGGGAAAAAAAAACTAAATCAGCTCTAATAACACATATAGATAATACAACATAACAGAAAGATATTTATCTTATGAATGTACAATTATCTGAAAAATCATATTAACAGAATAGAAGAAAAATTATATGATCATTTCAATTAATCAGAAAATTCACTTGACATAAATTAATACTTGTTTATGATCTTAAAAGACTTGGCAAACTAGAAATAGAAGGGAAATTCATTAAGCTGATAAAGGGTACCTATGAAAAATCAAAAGTAAAATCACAATTAATGGCAAAGTTTTGAAAACTTTACCCCTGAGATCAGGAACAAAGTGAGAACATTCCTTTTAACCACTTCTGGGAATTCTAGCTATGCACACTGGCAATTAAGTGAGATAAAAACTCATTCAGATCAGAAATAGAAATACCACGTTAATGTGTTGTTAAGATTTTAATTATCTCCAAGTCAATCTCTAGAATAAATGTTGTACTAACTTCTATTAACACCAGGTCTTTTTATAGAAACTGACAAGCTGATTCTAAATCTAAATGAAACAGCCATGAACCTTCTTTTGAAAAAGATCAAAGTTGGAGAATTTACACTACCTCATTTCACAAATTAGAAAAAAATCCCGGGAATCAAGACAGTGTGGTAGTGATACAGGGTTTAGTAAACAGATCAATTGGATACAACAAAGTCCACATAATTGATTGGCTGATTTTCAACAAAGGAGCCAAAATAATTCAATATAGAAAGCACAGTTTTTATCAAATGGTGCCAGAATCATTGGGTACCTATGTTGAGAAAAAATAAACTTAATCTTAACCTTTTAAGAAATATTATTTGGAATGAATCATTGACCTATACACAGAAGCTGAGATTATAACGCTTCTAGAAGAAAATATGGAAGACCAAATAAAATATTCAAAAATTTGTTCCATAAGAAGCAGAGTGCTCATAGAAAAGAAAAAAAAATTTAAAAACTTGAACTTCAAAATAGTCGAGTTCTGGCCCATAAAATGTAGGAAAAAAAAATGTAGGAAAAAAAGTATACAATCCATAGATGAAAAATTTGTATATGTGTTTGATGAATAACTTGTATCTATAATACAAAAGATCTCTTACAAATAAATAATAATTTCAATTTTTAAAGTGAGCAATAACTTGGACTCTTCACCAAAACAATATAAATGCATTGCCCGATACACATAT